TCACCGTTGTTTATACCCGAACCCGAAACATGGACTGACTCAAAAAAAAATTACAACAGGTTAATTTTCACAACTAAAAGTAAATTATAATTTTTGTTAAAGATGTAAGTTTAAATGTCCCAAACATAATCAAACCAATTACAAACAACGTCTTATATTACTATATAAAAAGTAAATAGAAATTCAAGCATCAAACAACTAACATCACGGTTTCATGATTAGACAAAATAAACTAGATTTTTTTGTGAGCTTTATTTGGATTGTTGAGGTAAATTGGATAAAAGTCTTAAAATCCCCACCCCCGCCCCCGATAAAATCCCCAAATATGCCCATGCCCCGTCCCCGACCCGAACATTTCGGTTTTCAGTTTCACCATCGGTTTCGGTTTTCTTGCCATCCCTAACTGTCTTTGGGAAAAGTGGTTCGAAATTAGATTCGTAACTTGTATGTTTATGGTGAGAACTTAGATAGCGATTATATATAATCTTTTTTAAAATATAAAATAAATATCTTATAATATAAAAAAATAAACAAATTAGAATAATTGTTTTCCATTATATTTTGTAATTCCCTTTCGTTTCTACAAAATATCCCATAAATAGATGTTGGGCCCAAGCCCAATATAAATAGTTTCCATATAATTTGAGGGCTAGGGCCCAAGCCCAAATAGTTGCTGGGTTTATGTAAAAGCCATACATAACGAACCCACCAAAATCTAGCCCAATGGCTCGTGACCATTTATTTGATGAACTTGACCCATGAGCTTAAAACCAATTGAATTTGGGTCGGGTACAAGGAAAGACCCAATCCATTTGTTTTAAATGGGACAAATATTCATATATGAGAGACTATTTGATTGGGTTTCTATTAAGTCATGTATGAATAAAACTCATTGTATAAATTAATCTGTATGTAAAGAGTGAGAGGGTTTTTATTTGGGAGAGATTTTCATAGATGGATGGACTGTGTTTTTAAATTGGGAGGGATAGTTTCTGCATAAAGCTCTTTCTTAGAAGCTTATTGAATACGTCACTTTATATATTATTAAGCTGCTACCAAACAGTAATATATAGCTAATTAAACAACTAACAAACATGCCTGAACCATTCATGGGATGAACCAGGGGCGGACCCATTAAGGGTTGAGCGGGGTCCCGTGCACCTGCTCACTCGTTCATTGCAAGAGAAAAAAAACGAGACATTTCCCTTAAATATTTGGAAACCAAACTATTATTAGTAGTTTAATGTAATTGATTTGGTTGAAAAGGCACGGTTTCCATGGGGTCTCCATCAAACTACTGAAACACGGATTTTATAAATTTAGTAATTTTTTTTTTTGCCAACAGCTATGTTAAAATGTATGCTATAAAACAAAGAAAATAAGATAAAAATCTTTAAATATAGAGAAAATTTTAAAACTCTATATAGAGAGAAGATAAATAATATTATAATTATTTCGTATTAATTATTAAATATTTTAATAATATAATTAATATTAGAATTAGTAAAATAGAGTAACTTTAAAAGTTTATATAATTTTTTAAAAGATTTGGGAACATATGAGACCAAGGGTTTTTCGTGAGACCCGTAAGACAAATTTTCAACTCTTTGATTAGATTTACAATCTGAACATTCATAATCACAAAATTGTCACGAGACTTTTCAATAATTACAAAATTGTCACCTTACAACTTTAGACCATTAGATCATTAGCTTATAAAGTTGATCAATGAACATAAAATGGTCTTATAGATCTCACAAAAACCTTTAGTCTCACATAAACACAATCTTTTTTTTTTTAAGATTTTAACTTTTAATAATATATTTCATAAGAAAATATTAGATACCAAAAAGGGGTATTGGCTAGTGACAAATCCGCATGTGCGCCACCCAGAAAATTAGGACCGTCAAACGTGGCTTGCATGTCCCTTCACCCTTGGTCTAATCAAAATTTCACATTACCCCCTCCAACTTTCAAAATATTATCCCAAACCCCTCCCACTATCCTAGTCATAGCAATACATACCACCACAATAGATTTGATACTTAATATCTAGGAGTTAGTGTTTGGCCTCAAATCTCTTATTTGATTATCCATCATCCGAATTTAAGATCTGAATGGAATTTTCAAATACTTCATCTTGTATTAAATTTCAAAAGCCAAAATATTTTAAGGGGCTGTTTACCAAACATTTACCCGGTAAGTGTTTACCGGTAAAATTTAACATTATTATTACTTACCACGTAAGATTTAATCCACCAAAACGACATTGTATGCAACAATTTACACGGTAAGCGCTTACCATGGTAAGAGTCGTCGCCCTCACTTGGTCCTTGTCTCGTTCTTACCGGATAAGATTCTTGGTCCTTACCATATTCATCCGGTGAGATAATGTTACTTGATAAGCGCTTATCCGGATAAACGTTTGGTAAACGGCCCCTAAGTCTTTTATATCATCTAAATCTAACACTTAATAAGTAGTCTTATTAGAATCTGATATGTAACTTATATTGCAGAAAAATAGATATGATTTTTTCTGTGTAAAAGTCTCTAAGAAAAAAAAAACATTCAATGAAATCAAATAGTAGTTGAAGTGAGACCAAGATCGTCACTAAATCAGATTGGATTGTCATCTAACCAAAAGAAGATCAATATAAAATAAAATCAAAAATAGTCTGACAAATACTAGTTTTGGCAAGCCGAATTTGGAGTGCAAACTTATCCAGCAAGTTTGGCTCATCAACTCTACCAACTTTTATCCTGGTATTGAGAACATCTTTGGCATAACAAACAAAGTTCTAAAATGCTATTTTATTAGTACCATATCATATGCTTCTTTTACTGTTCCCTCTACATACAAAATAATGAGTTCGGTTAACAAATGTATACATCATCTTCAAAGACTGAAATGAAGAGTAGAAACATACATTAATCAGCATATCAGATAAAGACACGCATGAAAGTTGGACAATGTTTAATGCATTGATTGTTTTAAGCGGCCATCCTTATCATTTGTTGCAACCCATCCATTTTGAAAAAAATTCTAAGTAATAATTTTTTAGGCAAAATCGGTGTCAACCATCTGAAGGTCTATCTTGGTACTTCGTATCTGAAAGAGTACATTCTTCTATTACTTTTTCAATTATTATCAAATTTGTTATCAGTCAAATTATTTAGGATCAAATCTTACCTTACTAGCTTCCATAACAAATCTGTAATTCTTTGTTTTCAATAAACATACAAAATTAAAAATGAAAATTTATTGTGTTTGTATTCAGCATCCCTACAAACATCCTTTGTGTTAGTCATTACCATTTCAGGACCAACATAAATATTAAAAGAGGTTGATATTATGACATCAAAGTATAAACTATCTTAGAAACCTTACGACACTAAACTAAATCAATTTAAAGGGCTCACGCTCGAGCTCAAATATTTTTTCAATGTTCAAGCTCGAGATTGATACTTTTTTACAGGCTTGAACTCGAGATCGTTAGCTTGCTTATTGACTCGACCTCAATAATTTTTATACTTTGATTATATGATTTAGTAAACATGTTTGGCTCAAAAAGATGTAAACCAGAATGGCCCGGATCGTCTCGAAAAATTAATCAAGCTTTCAAGCAAGCCGAATCGAACATTGGTGTTATAAAGCTCGACTCGTTAAGTCAAACAAGTTTTAACGTGTATTCGAGATCAACTCGAGTTCCCAAATAAACGAGCTCGAGTAACTCGTTAAAAACTCGAGTCATTAGCATCCCCATGTAGGATATATGCAAAGTTTGAGAAGCTATTTTCAAGAAAATCCTTGATTTAAAGAAACTTCAAGGACTAAAAGTGTAATTTGGACAACTAAATACATGCAATAACGAAATTGGTATTTTTGTGGAAAATGACAAGGATAGAACAGCTAAATATTATACATAATCGGATAATGCATAGAGATATTTAGATATATGTTTTCAAGAATAATTACTGACTTAAATAATCAGGATTAAAATTAAATCATGAAATAATTATTTGATTTATGAATATAATATAAATAATAAAAATTTATTTATTTACACACGTCAAAAAAGTGTTTATAACTTTCCATCTCTCTCCCTTAAAACATAATTCTATTTTATAAATTTAAATTTTAAATAAAATATATTGAATTTATTTCTTTCAAAGACACTCCAAAGGTTCATATACCATTAGAGATGCTCAAAAACTCGACCAATCCGATCAACTTAACTCAACCTAATGCGAAATAACTTAACCCGATGTCTAATCGAGTTGTAAAATCTCCAAACTGTAGGTATTGGGTTATTTTCATTTGAACTCAACTCAACTCAACCCGATGAATCTGACATCCTTTTATTTCTTGGATTTAATATGATTGTCGAGTCTATATTAATATGTACGTTAGACAGTTACACCATCACGTACCCTATTCATATACATATATTTTCAATCTATTCTCCATATTTATATAACTCATTTGTATATATGTTCAGATAACTATGCACACCCAAATTAAGAAAATTAATTGAATGTGATATACTTAATATTTAAGAAACATACTAAATGGTTGATGATGAAAAGAAATATGAGTATACTAAAGAAAACAACATATTTAAGGTTATGATAATATTTTTAATATACCAAAGTATCAATCCGACCAACCCGTATGGTTTAGGTTGGGTTGCACTTTGGTTTAGGTTAGGTTGAATTGAGGTTTTTCAAAACACAAACATTAAATTGGATTGTTCAAATGCAATCAACTCGATCCACCGAAACCAAAAGGACTTCTATATATCACCATCCTTTTTTTGTCTGGGTATAATTCCATTTTCTGAAGAAAGAAAGAGAAGTACTCCACTCTGTTATATATACACATATATGGCTGTACTGCCTTCTCTTTCTTACACACTACTACCACTTCCAATTCCATTATTAATATATATATATATATATATATATATATATATATATATATATATTTACATGTTTATAACTACATCCATCCTGATGAACAAACACACACATTTCCTCCATCAATCTCTCTTATTATTTTCTTATGGCTTTCTCCTTTTGCCTTTCCCACCATCAAATGGCACTCAAGGTACTGCTTCTTCCCCTTTTCCACTTTCTCTCTCTGTGTTTGCAATGTTTTAAGCACTTCAACTTCACATAATCATGGTTTGTTTCCTATTTTGATATCTGGGTTTGAGTTCGTTTACTGAATTTGGTTCAGTTTATGCCCATTTCACTGCTGATTCCATCCAATTTCTGTAAAAAAGCTTCGCGAGTGTGTTTTCATATGGTTTAATGACTTAGAACTTCACATAATCATGGTTTATTTCCTGTTCTACGATCTGGGTATGAGTTAATTTGTTTTAGTTCGTACTGAATTTGGTTGAATTTCGTGTCATATTGAGTGGGTTTCACTACATATCAATGATTTGTTTGCCATTATAGAATCTGGGTGTGATTCATTTTGCTTTGTTCGTATTAGTTTTGGTTGATTTTCCCCATTTTGAACTGTTAATTTGGTGACAGATTCAATTCATTATTTTAGATGCAGATGTGATGATTCTCATATATTAATTTTCAACAATTGAATCGGTTTATGTTTCCATTTTGATTGGCAATTTAGGGTTCATTGATGCTTTATGTTTTCTCAATAGAATCATCAAAAGGGGACATGAGAAATCTTTCAGTTTTGCCAAAAAGGCCTTTGTTTAATATTGTTGTTGCATATATCTATATCTATATATAGAGGGTTGGTTCATGTTGGACCAAGGGTTTTTCATGAGACTCGTAAAACCAATTTATGTTCGTTGATCAACTTTATAAGCTAATGATCTAATGGTGTAAAATTGCACGGCGGCAATTTTGTGATTATTGAGAAGTCTCGTGGCATTTATGAATGTTCATATTGTCAGATTGTAAATCTAATCCAAGGGTTGAAAATTGGTTTTACGGGTCTCACGAAAAACCATTGGTCTCACATGATCCCAAGTGTATATATATATATATATATATATATATATATAATTTTCACTTTCGCACACGGTTTTTTTTTTTTTGAAAACAACTTTTAGTAGAGGACAAGTCTGCCCATGTCAGACTCTCTGTCTCATATACTGGGCTCGTTTGGTTTTAGTTTAGGCCTTGGAAAGGAAGTCTTTGTAAAGGGTCTTTTCCGTTACATGTTTTTCATGCCGGTTTCGTAAATTGGAGGTTGTTATTTGTTCGTAAATGTATTTTCGTTGCAAAATTTCCCATTCAATGGATGGACTCTCTGCATTTGATCTCGTGGATGTTTGAGGATGAGTATAAAAGTCTGTCATGCTTAATCTAAGGTTGTTTGTTTGTGTAGATTAACCTCCTAACGAGTGTTGCTAAACACCCGACATCCACATTTGCTCTTAAAGCCGTAAACAATGAAATTTATGGCGTACAAATTGGATACAGTTTAAGAACGGAATGGAGTTTTATGGGAGGATCACGAGCGATCGTCATACCGAACCTCGGAAGATCCGACATGCGTCAAAGAACCTTGCGACTGCATGCATCATGTAATCCTTTCGAACTCTTTGAGATATGGATCAAATATTGCAAGATTTGTTAGTAGCAGCGTTTTGTAGATTATTAAGAGCCCGAAGGTCAACTAGATCTTCGTTCTATCTAACGTGACTAAAGGGTTGTTTGGTTGGTTTTCCATTAAGTCTTGTTAGATAAAGCCATTTGTGTGGATTAATCTATCTATATAGGTTCGGAAGGGTTTTGTTTGAGAGGATTTTTTTCATGGATGGAAAGAACGTGTTTTTTAATTGAGAGGGGCAGATTTGGAAAAAAAAACTTGGTTTTTTGGCATAAAACTCCCCCTTAGAACTTACAAGCTTTTTGAATAAGACATTTTCTATATCATTAAGCCACTACTAAACAGTCATGTATAGCTGACCGAATAAGTTGTAAGTCCTATTAAGCTGCTAACAAACAGGCTCTAAGTCGATTTCATGTGTAGGGCTCGCGAGTTCACAGTTAGCAGGTGATGCTTTTACGTTAGGAACTGCTGCTGTTCTTCCGTTCTACACCCTCATGGTTGCAGCTCCAAAAGCCGATTTGGTAAGAGTTAATGATGTTGTACTAGCCGAGAGTCTTCCCATAAACAACTGTTCTATTCTTTAGGGTAGAGGTCAGGTTTGTCTACATAATACCGACTTCCCCTCTAGGTGGGATATAATGATCTTCATAGAAACAACTCCTCTACTATTTGGGTTAGAGTTCAGATATGTGTATATCATATCTCGGCCCCACCTCTAGGTGGGATATACTAGGTTTATTTGATTTGATTTGATGATGTTATACTACTTGCACAGTTATAAGCGGTTTGGTTTGAACCAATCACCTGTTCTTGGTTCCAACTTCTCAACCAAACCGAGCCAATCGGGTTTGGTTGAGAAGTTGGAACAATCTTGCAAGCTAGATGTGAATTAGTTTGATTATAGATTCAACACCTGCAAATATAATGGAACAAAACCAATCAGTTTAAATTTTGTTTGTAAATGGGAACAAAACCGAACCAGGTTGACCTACTTGACCTCGACTGCAGACTAGAAAGTGCATGAGAAGTAGCATACCATATGTCGTGCTCGGGGTTTTGTACACGTACCTTCTTTACATCTCATGGACGCCTGATACATTCCGATTGATGTTCTCAAGCAAATATTGGCTGCCCGAGGTACGGTTTTACACATATACAGATTGTTCATTACAAATCAAACCAGATCAAATGAAGCCTGTAAATCCCACACGATGGTAGGGTCTGGGGTAGGATGTACATAACCAGTTTATCAGCTAACAGCTGGCTCTCAGCCAATAGCTTGCTGATAACAGAGACCTTGCCTCTACTCCAAGGGTTAGAAAGGCTGTTTCTATGAGCTGGTTGGTTACAAATTGAATCTCAATTCGGATATAGATCGATTTTAACCCTACCCATGGTCTATTTGCAGCTTCCGGGTATAGCTAAGATGTTTTCTAAAGAGACAACATTAGCCTCGGCTTGGATCCACTTGTTAGTCGTCGACCTCTATGCTGCAAGGTAGGTCGCTACGGTTTTCCCTCTCTATGTGAATGTAGTTAAACCAGGTTAAATAACCTAACCCCTCATCATGGTTTGGATGACTCAAAACAGACAGGTGTATCAGGACGGATTGGATAATGACATCGAGACTCGGCATTCGGTTTCTCTTTGCCTGTTGTTCTGTCCAATTGGAATACTCATTCATGCCATCACCAAGGCACTGATCACCACATCTAGAGGATCAAAAACTGAGATGCATTGATGTTTTTAGTGTTTTTGACCCCATATGGGCTTTAAATTTAGCCAAGTGTTCATGTGTATGAACTTAAAGTTTTTAGTTCTATTGATTATGGTTTTGGCATGATTTAGAGATCATTAGAACATAATTGCTCTGAATTTGAAGTCAATTGGTGTGAGTTTCATAGAATAGATGTAGAATGGTGTTGTACATAAAGTTTTTACTGGAATCAATGATGTTTTAGCTCAGACATCAAAATATGAGTCAGAGTTGAAAGCAAGGATGGAACCTGTTTGAAAGTACATGTTATACAAGCTAAGAGTCAGTAATCTGCGCCTCTGTCACTCTACCGGCTTCAGATTTTGGCTCGGGCTCTGTGCATCAATGGTCAAGTACTGCAGATTGAAGAAATCGATTGTTGACCTTTTCGGCAAGTATTGCATCCAAAGTAGTTCTTCTGATATGGATAAACGATACGGGTGCTGCACCAGAATATGAAAAAATCAGCAATATGAACAGCATCCCCCCCCCAAAAAAAATGGTGATGGTCAGTGTTGAGACCCAATGTTTAAATAGACTTGGACCATTTTTCTCATTGTATGTTAGAGCATCTATTCTTTTATTAAGGGTCCTTTTGGAGAGTAATCTAATGGGGTTCCAAATATTTTGGTATGGTATCAGAGTCAAGGTTTATCACTCTAGGGACTTAATCCTCTTGAACAATCTCTGTCTGGCTAGCCCTCTCTCGACACTCTTGAACAATTTGTGCCAGTCTAGCCTACATTGGAAGCAGTGCGTTGGAGTCCCATATTGGCTAAACTTGGACCATTTCTCCTTAATATATGTTGGAACCTTCCTTCTCCTTTCAAGGACTCTTTTTTAGAGCAACTGTCATCTAATGGGTTCCACGTATTTTCAGTTGATCCCAACGGATCAACTAGTTTGGGATGTGATTTGATGGAGTAGAGGCATTGACAGATCAATAAGCATGACCTTTAACAAATATTTTCAATCTTGGAATCAATGATCAAGGGAATGTTAACATACCATTTAACAAACATTTCAGCCTTAGAAACTTCAAGTTGGAAGAGGAGACATCTGAATTGGATCTTCAAGAATCCCATTTGAGATGTCAGCATCTTGCTTGTAATCTCTTTTCCCACGTTCCAAAGCCGTTGCTTCGTATATCCCTACAACATCACGGTAAACAGATAAAACACAAAAACGACAATATGCATAGGGGCGACAAAAGTTTTAATCCCTTGGGTTGTGTGGTTTTCGTGGGTTCTATAAAATAAAAATGAAATAGAATAAGGTATTTGAAGAAATGAAAATTAAAGCCTCATAGGTACCAAAGCCCAACAGAATGCAGCAAATCACGAATCCTGGCAAAGAAAAGTCCATTTTGTAGAAGATTTCCATCACTATTAAGCATCCTCCTGCCACCATTAAATGTCTTGGAGAAGAGAAAACCATATGCAGCCTATAATCATTAGATTGGTATCAATTATTTGTGTGCCCAACACTACCCATATGGCAATTGAAATTGAAATGAAATGTTAAAGAAAACACAATAAAGAATAACTAAATCATCACATATGAATACACACGAAACAAACAGATTTTAAGCTGTTCTTAGAAGGGAAAACACGATATGCAGCATAAAAAAAACTTAAAAAAGATGTTAAACAATTACTTAATATGTTAAACACTACAATGGTAAATGTGAAAAGCAACAAAAAAGGTTCGTATATATAGAAAATTTATAAGAACCAAGGAGGCGTTTGATTTGACGGAATGTTTTTGAAGGATTTGGAATGAAAAGGAGCTGGAATCTTTGGTGTTTTTGGTTTGTAGGATTTGGAATGGAATTGAATTTCATTCTTTATAGATAATTTATATAAACAAATTATAAATAATTAAATTATTTTTTATTAATTGATTATTACAAACGAATATTTTCAACATACTTTAAAACAATGTTACAGACATATCCTATGAAATCCCATGAAATACCAACTACCCATGGGATTCCTAAATCCAATGATTCCATTAGATCCCCCAAACCAAACCCCATTAGATCCCGCAAACCAAAGGGACCTTAAAATCCTGCTGATTTAGCAACTTAACTCCAATATTTTGAATCTCAAATTGCAAAAACGTTTTACACACACATATAAAACTGGAATCAGATTACGGAAAATAAAAATGAACATAAAGCCGATATTTCTGTATGATACCTTTCCTCCGCAATGCTGTCCACATAAAATATTAAGATTACGCCAAAGAGGATGGTGCTCGAGAAAGCCCATGCAGAAAACGGCAATTCCACATTGGTTGAACCCTGCATGATCAAACAAGATAGTAGAATGAATTCTAGTAAGCAGTACAAAATGGTAATCTTCCTGGTATAACTATGAAGAGATATAGCTCCACTTACTACAATCATATCCCACATGGCGACAGGAAAGAGAAAACAAGTCGCGGAAGCAATAGTTATAGCATGAAGCCTTCTTTTCAGTTGATTCTGAAGATAAAATATAGAAAATTTTAAATTTCATCAACTTTCTACTTTAAGGGAATGAGGATATAATTAAGCAGGTTTAACTACCTAAAATTCATTTAAAATGACAGGGTACCAAGAAATGCACGAATTTGTTTCTGAAATTAAATGAATACCTTGAGTGAGACACGCCTAGCAATTACCCTTCTCAATGCTGATAAGATGCCAGCAAAGATTGGAGCTACCATGCTCTTCATGTTCAACGTTTCCTCTGTCCGATCCTCGCTATCAGGTCTATCATTAAGTGGTATCTTCTAGTTAAGTCTACATCAAGCATTAGAATAAACGCTTTTCTGTTTTGATTCTTGGATAAATTGTGTGTTCCAATTTCGGTTGTGTATTTCATTTTCTTTCTTTTAGAGAATGGTTTTGTTAGCTAAAGGAAGTCAAATAAGTTCTGAGTGGTTATGTATGGAGACAGACAGGGTGGTGTGAAATAATTGTAACCCAAAAATTGCTCATTTAAAAAGCTTATCTTACTGGTTATAAATCAAATCAAAATCAAATTCGTTAGAGGATATAGAATGGAGAATATGTAGCGGTGGCCCATCCTTGAGATAAGAAGTAGAAAGATGCTAACATTGCAACAAGTCCACCCACCTAATCAGCAACGAAGAAGTAAATGAACTGATTAGCAAAAAGATGATCAATATGAGAAGTTTATATATAATTTTGACCATATCAAGGCTATGTTTCGCAAACTAGTTGATATGCAAGCTAGCTGCTGGCTGAAAGGTAAAAACTAGCAAATAAACTAGATGACAATGTAAAATGACCTAAAAGGACATGGCAAATTAATTGGAAAAACGTAAGGGACATAATTGGAAGAAAAAAGAAGTGAAAAAAAGCCGATGGAGCTTATTGACATGTTACTTGAAGTAGTTTTTCAAAAAGCTAGCTTATAGCTAACCAAATGGGGGTTTTCCAATAAGCTCAAAAAATAACCTAGCTTACAGTTGACAAAGATGGCCCAAGTATGCAGATCAAAACACATGCTTATTATTGTTCCACTATCAAGTGCTACCTTAAAATTTTACATGCACCAAACATGTTAGCACAACCATAGCATATCACTGACATATTTCGTAAGCACAAATCATAGAAAGAACAATTACATCATTTTAAACAAAATGGAATCCTAAAAGAGACATTATATGCTTCAAAGACAAATCATGACTAAAAAGACTGATCGTCCAAACATGAGTATTGAGTAATGTGTTGTATGCAAATCAATTCTTTTCGTTTTAAGGCCAAGAGACGGGATTAATTTGTCACATGGGCATGCTAATCTTGTCACTGAAACCACCATTACAGATGTATTGTTTGAATAATATGTCATATTTTTGGATACCAAGAGTACCACTTAAAGGTAAAACACCAACATATGAAATTAAGCAAGTACATGGAACATTTACCTTTTTCCATATGTTACCCCTCCTGCCATACAATACTGCAGAAACAACTCCAAGAACAGCACCTGAATACTCCGCCAAAACAGCCCTGAAATTACATTAAGGACTCATATATGGCTACTCCACAAGGAAGCAGAAAGATTACCGCCAAATCTTGATATTTTGGAGTCCTTTTCCTTGTTAATTAACATTAACCGTTGTATTGGTGAAACTAATCCCACAACATAAAAACCAAAAATATAATAAATGTAGGATATTTTAATTTCATGTGGAAAACATCCCAAGTGAGTCAGAGTGACTATAAACTATACTTTCAAACTATATGTGTTTGTCTAGGAAGTAGATATCAATCAAATCATTAATGTTAGAAACCATTAATCATGTCCCCTTTTCTTGTCCATGCTCAACAAGCCATATTTTCTGGAAAAATGAACTCGTTTTACCAAATATATATAACACACGTCAACAATGAGAATCAGAAATTCACCCCTGTTCTTCGAAGAATGATGTAAAACGGAATATATGGTCATCAACATTATCTTTATCAATCAGCAGATGCGTACCTCACAGGACCACATGATTTGAGGCCTATCCCCCATAAGATGAAATATAACGCTGTTAGAGCGCCATTTATAACCGAAGGCACAACCTGAAGACAAAGATTTTACTTTTATGCAAGAAATATGTAAAAGGAAACACACCAGAAATGTGCCCTTAGAGATTAAGAGTATATTAATTACAAAGAAGAGTGTCTTCATTCGACCTGTGTATTAGCAAGTGGTCTGCCTTTCCAAGGCCTTTGCAGAACCAGAAAAACAACAGATGATGGAACAAGACAGCTAAAGATAAAAAGCACAACAGAAGCTCCTGTATGAGACAAATAGTTGTACATGGAGTACACAGACCATATCCTCAAGAAGCTTCCAATTACATGGATTATTTGCAATGGTGCATGCCTGCATTAGAACAAGATTATCATTAACCAATAAAATAGGAGGCTGCCATTTAGCATGAGCTCTATATATGTCTTTTACTAGTGATGCAATTTTCATACGAAAATACAATGCAACACTGAATTTACAGCATCTCCTTTTCTTAAAGTTTGAAAGCGTAAATTACCCCTATTGCAAACAGAGTTAGGGGATCTTTGGTTAGTTTTCCATTAAGTCCTATATGGATAAAGTTGTCTGTGTGGATTAATTTGTCCGTATAGATTGACAAGGTTTTTATTTGGGAGGGCTTTTTCATAGATGGAAGGAGCGTGTTTTTTAATTGGGAGGGGCATGTTTGGAAAAGCTTGGCTTTCTACATAAAGCTCCCCCCCTAGAAGCTTACTAAATAAGTCACTTTCTATATCATTTAGCCACTACCAAATAGTCATGTATTGCTGACAGAATAAGTTGTGAGTCCCAAACAGACCCTTACACTAAATACTACCTTTGGTTATAATTAATTTGAAATACTGAAACAAATTACCGATTTATCACTAGACATTATTTGTTAAGAAATAAACAATTAAAAATTGTTATAAACACGGTACTCTATCTATACATAGTGGGATATGGTGATCTACATCTAGAGATGATGAATACCAACCAGTGTTGAAGTCTTAAGCAAAATAGTATCTTTTGAAATGAAGCAATATAACCGGACCCAATATATATATAGAGTCAGTTTCAAACGAGGAGGCAAGAAGTTCCAAGATCATATATGATTACATGTGATACACACATTTAATCATATGTGATTAAACACATGTTGTGTTGACGGGCACATAGCGGGCAACCTTCCCCCATGACCTTTGGTCGCATTGACCAAGTCGCCCATGTCCCTTTTGGATGTTTTTAATCATATATGATTAAAAGTTCATATCATGTGTCTTGGAACTTCTCACATTCTAACAAATTGATCAACTTCTCTTTTGATCCTCCTTATATACAATATATATATATATATATATATATATACACATATACATATATACAATTTGGGAGTTCAGTTTCTAATGTGGTGCATTCATTTAATTACTAAGAGGATGCAAGGCTGGCAAACTTTAGATATCAGACAAGACAAGATCCTTCCCATCAGTGGACGAGCTTCTGCCATGAACACAATACTCTTCAAAACATTAGTTTCAGGTTCGCTAAATAACAATGAGTGTATGCAAAATTTGACCAATCCAACACATAGATCAAGAGAAAGATTGGAAGTATTTCACTTGTAAAACCTCGAATCAACAATACTCCAATTTTTCCATTACCATTTCTAGAAACCTATTAGGGTTAAGGTTCCTGGGCAAATTGAATGACTAAAATAAGTGAAAAGGAAAGGAATCAACACCAAAATTACCTGAGATTGGTATGAGAAGAAGCTCGGTCTTCGGGAATATAATTTGGGGACATCATCTTTAAGAGTATAAATTGGTTGAAATTGGTAAGATTTTAATGGCGAGAAGGATTGGAGAGCTGATAAAGCAGTGAATCTACGATCCTAGTTAGTTTTATACAAGAAAATTAGTAGCAGTTGCACAAATTTTGAGAACGAAATTGAATCTAAGAAGGCAACGCTTCTCTCCTGTCGTTTTTGACAAATACCATAATTCTTGACCCGCTCGGTTAATCAGGGGTGTTTGGGATTGCCTACGAAAATGGTAACCAGTACTTTTGACGGTTTGGATAAACAATTTAAAATGGTAATAAGTATTTTTTACTGTTTGGATAAATAATTTATATCAGTGTCAAATCGATAATAAGAAATTTTTAAATAAGTTAAATTCTTCTGACTTATAATAAGTTGATAAGTATTTTTGTAAAAATGTATAAGTTATTTCAAATAAGCAATCTCAAACAATAAAGTAGACACTAAAGTTGAACATAAAATAACAGTTGGAGGTGCTCAAAAGACTCGACGTAGTTCACTCAAATAATAATAAAAACTATTATTACACGAAAAAATTTACTTTTTGGTTTTTCACAATAATTGATTATAAAAAATGTTGTTCTTATTCTAATGCTTTGTATGTTCATAGGGCGTTCGTTATGGTTCAGGTTGTGTTGATGACAACACACAAATTTGCTTAAAATGTTATTTACGTTATCGATATCAAAGTTATGGAAAAAGGGTTTGTGTTCTATTTTACAGGTTCCACAACCATCATGGAAGAGGTAAATTATGGTGTATTAGCCTATTAAGACATAAAAATGGAGTTGGGTCTGAACTCGATACCTTGTTATGGAAATTTCACAATTTTTTAGACAATTCAAAGTGCACATCCCAAGTGCCAAAACCCTTGTCGACTCTTTCCGTATGTTGTTACGTTAGCCGAACAAACAAATTTCAACACCATTGGACGGTTCTCCTTTGATGCTCAACCAATGAGATCAATTACAAATTGATTAAAATCATATTGAACAGATGATGTTCTTATGGTTTGGTTTTGAATACAACGTTTGTAAATCACAAAAAATATCATGTAAAAGTAAGAATGTTTGAAGCACATCTTTAAACCAATAATATATTGATCTCAGTAATGAGCTTATCGTTGTATTTTATCTTTAGTAATACAAGATAAAAAGAATTGACACTAAGGGGCCGTTTACTAAACACTTACTTGGTAAGTACTTACCGGATAAAATTTCTCATCGGATGAACATGACAAGGGTCAAGAATCTTACCGGGTAAGAGCGATGAGAATGATGGAGAGTCTTACCCGGTAAGTGAGGATGATGACTCTTACCCAGATAAGCGCTTACCCACTAACTTGTTGCATTCGATATGTTTTAATATACTAAAATCTTACGCATCAAAAAAATCATAGTGTTGACTCTTATCGGTAAGCGCTTATTGGGTAAGCAATTGGGTAAACGGCCCCTAAATATTTAATACATACCCAAATGTTTACAACCAGGGGTAATTTTGACAAATAAACTAATGAGCTGTTTACCCAAATGCTTACTCAGTAAGCGCTTATTAATATGAACCAACACTATCATTTATTTTGATGCATAAGAATTTAGTACATCAAAACATATCGAATGCAACAATTTACTGGGTAAGCGCTTACCTGGGTAAGAGTCACCATCCTCACTTACCGGGTAAGACTCTTAGCCCTTCTCATCGCTCTTACCCTGTAAGACTCTCGACCCTTCTCATGTCCACCTGAAGAAGAAATTTATCCGATAAGCACTTACCAAATAAGTATTTAATAAACTGCCCCTAAATATCAATGCATGTCATCTCACAAATTAAAAAAAATAGGTATAAATACCAACCACGTCGAATCTAAAATGTAAGAGAACCAACCAGAAAAGCTTGTAAATAATACAATCAATTTTACGGGAAAATGGCACCAATAAAAGCAAAACCACCAGGGCCTTTGTAAAAAAGTATAAAATACAATATTCAATTAATTATAAAAATATAAACAGGTCAGGCGGGTTTATCTGATTTTCTTTCCTGTACTGCCATGTCCGCTCATTAATCTTAATGGGCAAGTCCGGGCCTACCCATTCTTTAAAGAACGGTTGTTGAAGCCCGTTTGTCTAGAGGGTCGGGTCTAACATGCCGTACTGTCCGTCAACAACTCTAGTGCTTTGATCGTATGAAGTTGAATTGATGCTTTTCAAGAGCAGATTCATGCTAAATCTTTTCCTTTATCCACGACAAGATTCGTTCTGCGCCTTTTTCCCACGTAGAATCCAACATCATGTCATGTGCAACCCCTTCAACACACACGGGCTGCACGCCATAGAAACTCCCCGTCTCCTCGAGTCCTTTTGCATCCTATAAAGATTCGAATAGATGCACACACACACACATATAGTAGGAAGTTAAGAACGTACGATCCTAGGAAACTTATGAGCAATTTGTTTTCAATATTTAACGTTTTATTTATATGGCGTAAGAAATGAACATGTGGTATCGGGTCAAAAATGAAAGTGGGACCCACAAACTATTATGGATGGGTGTGTTTGGTACGTAAGATAATGACAATCAAAAACTTGTTGTCTAACATTTGACGTGACAATAGACTGGGCCAAAATAGTACCGAGTGGGACACCACCACCAAAATAGGTGAAACAAAAATTGGTAGATGGACAAGATTGGTGAATTACTAAACTATCCATGTCAAATTAAAACCCTAAAATCTTCCACGGTTCTTTTATCCTCCTACCTCACTCTCCCCTTCCAGTCCACATGCCAAACGCAATATAAACTAAATGTAACATTTACCACAATGAAGTCGTCGGCTGCACCCATGACGAGAACTTGGGTAGAGGGGTTTGGCACCGTTGCAACGGGAAGCGAAGCATTAAGCTTTCTTAGATCAAACAACGGCATTCTTGAACTTTCTTTCATCAGTTCTTGATAACTGAAAGTAACGAGAACTGTTCAAATAATATCGTGATTTTTATAACACGATCGAAATCTACTTCAAGAAAATTCCAAAGTAATTACGAACGTGACACAGGGACAAACCGCAGGACAAGATGATCATCCATTCCCCTCGAGAAAAATGTTTCCTTGCAAAGGGGTAACGACGTCTGAAACGCTTTCGCTGCCAAGCTCATAGTAACCTGAAAAAACGAGTACCATATTGTAACATTGTGGTTATGAATATATGACAGATGAATGAAGTATCGAACTTGGGTGAAATAACTACAAGCAAATATTTCCGAAAGCTAAGGTTCCATTTGTTTATACTGTTTCTCTCCGTTTTATAAACCAAATTGACTCGGTATATTTCACTTAAAAGTAGGCTACCAAAATGCTTTGATATGCAGACAGGACTAGATGGGACGAACGAGAGTGAGGTAGGCAGGCGAAATGGAAGGTTTTACTGTTTTAACTTGACATGGGTAGTTTAGTAATTTACCAATCTTGTTACACCTCCGAGATTTTTGCTGCACCCTATTTTGGCAAGACAAGAAAAAAACATTTTTGTCCACTCGGGTCTTTGTGTTATTCCAGTCTAATGTTGCGCCAAATGTGGGACAACAAGTTTGTATACAGAGTTTGTTTGGTTTATATGTTCTCTTGAGCTATCGAAAGGTCATACCTTGAAGGCAGCAACAGGTTTTGAAAAGAGATACCGCCATACTAAGCCACTGGCCACGAAAACAGAAGTCGTTAGCTGTCTCATCTCGTGTGTCAATAATGAAAAGAGGATAAAAACGTCAACGACACCTATTCCCAGTAGGCGGCACAGAGCAAACAAGCACAGCTCCGGAAAGTTCTGCATGCATATTTCCGGTGTTAATCATGTTTACAAGGAGAAATTCATTATTAAGGGTAAAATCGTCATGTGGTTAATTAAGAACTGTAATAATTACACATTTCTAAAACTGATTTCTTTTTTCATTATGGACATTCTTTTGGAACGAAGAAAATACCATCATAGCCAAATTCAAATCTAAAGAACATCAACCCGAGTAACGAAATGTACGATGCATGTTAACTTACTTCCACTTGAATCCTTTTCAAGATTCGCGATGTAGTACTGAACGATGAGCCCTCCAAACGAGTGTCCAATTAACACGGGCGACGATGTGGTTTGTTTCTGAATGAAATCAGCAATACATGCTGCATGTGTCTGTTGCACAATTTGAAGTAGATTTATCAACAGACGAAATATATTGTAGATAATTCAGCTTATTCAAGTATGGTGGGTGACGATAGATAAAAAGTACCTGAAGCGAACCAGCCACCGAACCAGCTGGAGCATCGCTTTCACCCTGACCATGTTCCAAATTGCGACTAAAATCAGAATGAGACATATGAACTCAGGTTCCTACATGGGTTGGGTCGGGTTGGCAGGTTGCTATCATTCTTGTAAATAAGTAGGTGTCTACGAATTTGGTTGACTCAGGAGTATGGTTCATCACTAGATTCAATCCTATGCATATAACAAATATGTAATATTGAATTATTCATACACAAGTACGTACAAGAACCGAACAAATTCCCTTCTAAAGCGCAATGCATGGGTGGGCACGAGATTAAAACTGATCAAGGGTTCAGATTTCTTCTTACACTTATCACCTTAACTTCCCTTCTTCAAAAACTCCTTATTACCGGTTTGATACGGGTATAAATTCCAAACAGTTTATTACCGGTATCACGTCGAAATAAGTCAATAAGTTATTTTTATAACCAAATTATTTCTAGTTAGGGTTCGTGTTTACATATCTCATTTCAATTTCGATTTCAATTGGTGAAATATTTGAGCCAATTGATCTTCAGATTTTACATACAGAGATGATGTCGAACCAGAAACTGAAAACCCAACAACGAATTACATATACGATATCAATTACCCATAAAATCCTAAATACGAGATACGTATATGAATCGAGAATTGAACCTGACCCAAGAGGCTGAGAGCATAGGAATCGAACCCATTTTCAGAGAAGAAAGGCAACCAGTGTTCAGCCCAACACCAAGCTGCATGGAAACTTCCATGGACGAAAACTAATGGAGGTTGTGGAGTCCACGATTTCTCTATTTTCTCATCTGGATTTTTGATTTGCAGACCCTTTTGGTAGATGACCTCCATGTTCAGACCAGAAGGGAGCTGGTGAAAAATACGAGATTGCCCTTGCTTCAGCTTGTATGGCACCCTCATTTTGTTGAGAACAGCTTGTGGCATTTGGGTAATTCTGGTGCTTGCAAGAACGTAGCCATGGGCAGCAGCCATTGTTGTGGTTTGAAGGAAGGAGGATCTTTTCGGTACATTTTATCACTTGAAAATGGAGTTTTTGGAGTTTTTAAAATGGACCCATAACTATTCCAATATAACATTATACACCCCCATTAATATTTTATTATAACAAACACACAACATTGGGAAAAGTTTAGTTATTTTGAATGCATGTTCCTGAATTAATTTTTTAGACGAAAAAATCATTAATTTTTTCTTTTTAAATGATTAGATATGTATGTGAATATTTTTTTAAATAAATAAATTATTAAACTTTTAAAAATTGATTATTTATATTATTTTAATCAAAAAAGGTTACATGTAACTGGTTAGAAGAATTTTACAAAAAAAAAAAAAAGTAAATCATTTCTAAACCTTCGGGACGAAAATCGTAATCTACTTTCCAAATAATTTGGATGCAAGTTTTAAAAACCCAAACAATGGAAGGCAAATTAAATATAAAACTTTCAATCAACATTCTTGGTTTTTCCTACAAAGAAAATGAGATGATGATCTGAGTCTATTAAGGTCATATTTCAGACGCACCATAAAGCTACATATAAAATGACACCAAAAATGAAACAACCATATGACAAATTCCTGGCACCATGTCGTTTACGCATCGGTTATCGGGTACTCAAAGACGACATCTTTGCCGCAAAGCTTCCTGTAAACCCCAGCATAAGTCTCCAGCTTGTATTCCGTGTCGTTTCTTGCCTTGGGGTCCAAGTAAATCTGCAATAAATGCATATGAAAATGTAAAATTCAGATATGAAATCGCCTTCACAAAATGAAATTGGGTTGGGTAAAATTTGTAGAAATTCACCTTGATGATTTTGGAGCCATCGATTCTGTATCTGATGCGTTTTCCTACAATCTCAGCAGGATGCACGATATCCTCGAGCATCGCATCATGAACAGCAGTTAGAGTACGAGAACGAGGTCTCTGAGCTGCTGAACCTTTCTTTGGTGGCGGCACCATCCTTCTGGTTGCAATAAGAACCACATCCTGCCAACAACAAACAATTCAAAAGTTATAACGAGAAAGAATTGCAACTAGATGGAAACAGAGGGTTAGGATGAGAGCGATGAAAGCCACAAGACATAATCGAATACTGACAAGAAACAAAGATGCAAATGTGGGTCAATTCCCTTGATATAGAATAAATGAAGGCCCCTAGAAAACAGAGAATAAATAAAGGTGCTCTTATCATTTCTTAGTTTTATATCAAACTACATATAAGCCAAATATGTGAAACATATATACCCATTAACAAGCGAGCTAAGCGTACAAACTGTTTGGTTGGTTTCCCCATGAAGTCCTCTGTGGAAAAAAAATGTTTGTGTGGATTAATCTAACTGTATAGATTGCGAAGATTTTTGTTTGGTAGTGATTTTTCATAGTGAAAGGAGAGTGTTATTAATTGAGAGGGGAAGGTTTGAAAAAACTTGGCTTTCTGCATAAAACTTCCCTCAAAAAGCTCACTGAATAAGTCACTTGCTACATCATTAAGCCACTATGAGCAAATACATTAAGCTCATTAAGTTGCTAATAAACATGCCCTACATGAGAGCTCCTGAGCCCGCTTATTTGACTATATGAGCCGAGTCGAGTAYAATATGGCTAAAGCTTGGCAAGCCTAAATGAAATCGATTACACGAATCAATATGAGCCACAATGTTATTTAATTTCCAGTTCCACCAGTTGTAGGGGTCGTTTACAAAACGCTTATCTGGTAAGCACTTACCAGGAGGGCATGGCGAGGACCAAGAATCGTACCCAGTAGAAGGCATAGAGGCTTTCTAAAGGCTTAGGCGAAGTATCCTATCATTAAAAGGCACCATCAAAGGTCCAAGCAGGAGTTGAGTTAGCAAGGACCGATAATCTTACCCGGTAAGTGAGAGAGACGACACTTACCTAGTAAGTCACCGGGTAAAAGAAGACTACCAACATTCCTTTTTGATGGCCGAAAACGTTACCCATATGGTAAGTGATGGTGGTAACTATTGCCAGTAAGGGCTTACCCAGGCTGGCTTTAGATTAGAGTCTTGCTTACAATAGGAGAAAGTGTTCGGTAAACCACCCCTTAGCCTAAATGGGGGAGAAAATAAACAATCTTGCTCTTATGAAACATCCTTGGCCAATGGCAGAACACAGACCATCTTCTTTTTCCACATTGATTACAAATAGTCATCATAATATAGCAGTAAGAAAGAAAACTCGGGAAATAATCGACAGCATAGCAATTTAAGAACTATAACATACACATTGTAAATTAAACTAAGAGACAGGAAGTTACCTTTCCGCTAAACTTCTTCTCAAGCTCCCTAACAAGCTTAAGATGAATCTTGCGGAAAGCTTTCCTCAATCTGTAAGGAACATGGATCACTACAGCCTTTCGGTTTCCAGAGATATCAATTTGGCTACAAAAAGAGCACAAAAAGGTCAGCATGACAATCATGTGGTGGAACAACATGTATTAAATCGCATGTAGATGCACCCTTACGTGGCACTGTTGATATAAAGGTCCTTCAAGTCACTCTTAAGGTCCTGGTTTGCATTCTCCAAGTCGAACAATGCCTAGATGGACAAATTTAAAAAGTCAGAAAACCTTAATGAGCTCAACCAAGAAGATAAGAGAACAGATTTTGTCAAAAGAATGAAGTACAAATTACCTGAGCAACAGACTCTTCAAATTCGGTGGGTTCAACATCCTTGTCCTTCTGGATCTTCTTCCTTGAGGTATACATTTTGAGAGATCTGACCAATCAAGAAGAAGATCAAGCAAGTAAAGTATTAGCATACATAATTAATGTAAAACTGCAATCTGGCCATGCAAACAAGACGGTTCTGGAATAGCATGACAAAGCTATAATCTCTTTTGCTAAAAAATCTTTTGCGGGTCAAAAATGCACAATTCTATCGCATTCTCCAACCAATGGGTATCCAAACATAGCAACAATGCATATAAATTTTAGTTCTACCACATCCAACCTATAACTAAGTGCCCAAAAGGATACAACAACTAAAACCAGAAACAGGTATATATGAAAAAAACTAATAAAATTAAATTGGCTGACTGACATATCCATGTGGGTGAACTTGGTCTACCAGAAAAAGGCAGTGGAACCCAACTCTCCAGCAAATGGTGAGCAAAAATTTGTGGGAGGCTATTTTTTGAATGATCAACTATAAACAGCTTACTTGTGCATAATCGTGGGATGTTAATTCAAGGTATATGGTTGGTTATGAATTTTAAAGGTTATATTCATAGACCACTTTGGTTGTTTACCCGATGTTTTTGGTAGACAAATAGTGTTCATGATGGGCTACACAACATGCCAGTCTTCTTTATGTAATTTTTCTTCTTTGAAGTAAAAAATTTCCAGGGGTCTCATCCCCTTAATCAGATAAAAAAACCAAGGGAAATGGACTGAAAACAACAATATGTTTCTATATGGCCTTCTAACGGATAAATTCCTGTCAAGACACAAACAAGTAAAGGAACGACTTCTTCTCCAATATCAAAAACACATGCTATCATTGCAGGGACCCATCTCTAAGCATTATCTAATAACTTTAACAAGGATGCTATAATTTTGTTCATAACGATACGTAAATTATCAGTTTGTGATAAATGATTCTACCTTAATCTCATCAATTTGCAATAAATCCATTTGGAGCACACTATTTGGTTCATCTAAAAAAGTTCTTTTTGCTAATAAATAGTTTGTGTAAACGAAATCTTCATCAAAGGAATATTCATTACACGCAAAGTGAAGCACCCAAACTAGTGATCATAATACGGGATCGAAAAAATGTACAAGTTAAAGTAACATACGATTTCACCACAAAAAAAATTCCATCAGCATTACAATTGCAAGAACATTAAGTCAAAAACAACCCATCTGTCCTACAATAAACCATATACAAAAAAAAAATCAATCAAAATCAGAGGAAGTCCAACAGCCAGCACGCAGTTAACTACAAATACAACTCAAATTCACATCACGTATAATGAAATCAGTGTAAATAGAACACTGACAATGACAATAGCCAACCATAAATTTCTCTAGAACATTACATAAGCACCAGCAATGGAAGATCAAAAGGTTTTGGTTTTGAGCAGACAACGGGAAGAACAAGTACCTACAATGGAAAATTCCGGTAGCTTGGATGGAGCTCTGACGCTAGGAAACGGCTGAGAGAAATGAAAACCCTAACTCTGTCATGATGTTATTTCACCTTAGGTCTAGTTTGGGTTTGGCTTTAAACAGGCCTTGTATCGGCCCAATTGACATCGACTATTGGGCTGGGCCGCTGGGGTCATTATTTTTATAAGCCCAAAATTTCTTGTATTGAGCCCAAACAAGATTTTAGTTTGAGTAAATTACATGTTTGGTCCTTGTGTTTTAACATTTGTCCTATATAAGTTATAGAGATTGTTCATATGCTACGTATTTTGTTGTGACTAAAGTCTCTCCCTTTAACATCGTCTCCTTTGACCATTAAATGGCCCATATGTTTCTTATGTGAGGGGTATTTTCGTTATTTTATTATTTTTCTTTATTTATTTTTATTTTCATGTAAAGAGTAAAAACAAAATTAGGGGAATTTAAAAAACCGTTACACCGCTCAAACCGGTCGAACCAAGTTAAACCGGACCGTTTTTGACGGTTTGAGCGGTCTAACGTTTTGGTTTGGTTTGGAAAATAGCAAAATCGGACGGTCCGATCTGCGATCTGGAACATTTTTTGGGCGGTTTGGACCAAACCGACCGCCATATATATATATATATATATATATATATATATATATATATATAATTTAATTATTTATTTTAGTATTATCAAGCCCAACTTTTTTAACTCATGAACTATGGCTCAAATATATCACTAAGTCCAACATAAAAGTCTAACATCTAACAAAATCAAAATGGATATTAATCTAAAATTTTAAATTACATATGTTTTTTAAGTTTAATATTTAAAGTCCATTAAAGACCCAAACCGTCTAAACCGGTCAGACCAGACCGCTTTTTCGTAATCTAGTTTGACCGGTATGGGCACTTGATGTCAAACCGCTCGGTTTGAACCGCCATTACAGTTTGGTTTGTGGTCTGAAGGGTTACACCGTCCAAACCGGACCGCAAACACCCCTAAACAAAACTGTGAAATTAAGAAAAACCCAAAAACTTCTGAGAACATCATGAATACGAATAAATATGTACAAATATGAAAAACTGATATTTTAAGCAAACAGGCTCTCTTTATCTCTCTCTCTCTCACACACATACGTATATAGGCGGAGGTTCAAACGAGAACATCCATGTTTTAGCTAAAATACGAGAAGAGTCATGGACCCCCAAATTAGTTAACCTGTAATTAAAATTATAATAAATAAAAATTAAAAATTAAGGGTTTAAAATAATTGTGTATTTTTCATCAATTTTTATGCTTATCTTAATTGTTTATATTTTATCTCTTAATTTATGGATAGCATAATCGCTTACAATATCACACCAAATAACAAATTGTTAGCAGAGCGTGTGATACAATTATAAACAATGCTTGTATTCAATGTGATAAATGTGTGATACAAACAAATGCCTCCCTGGTTTAGACGTTGATGCGAAAACAGTGTTAGGAATCAATGTGATACAAAACAATCGAAGTGATGAGATTTACAAAAATTAGTTAATCAAATGCACCCGAAACAAAATCAGCGTGATACAAAAAGTGACTGAATAAACCTAGTGATGCAAAAACAGTGTTAGGAGTCACTGTGATAAATACATGATAAATTACATAAAAATAATGTGTTTACAGAACAATGCAATACACATGTTGATGCAAAAACAATATTATGAGTATGATAAATATGTGATAGATAACAATCGAAGTAATGATATAAACAAATGATTAAATAGGTTGGTCAATCCAACCCAGACCCAAAATACATTAATTGTAAAATCGTGATACTTTAAATGACTCTTTTAAGTTAAAAAAGTGAAGGTTGATGGAACGCCAAGATGATGTTTGGTCCACAAAAATATTTTTGAATGAAATGAAATATTATCAAGTTTGATCACTTATTTGGTTGACAGACGTTTATATAAAATATGTTAAAGGAATTAATTTTATCTGTTTGGTTTATAAAATGTAGTTTTATAATTAAAATGAAATATTGGTAAATAACCAAACTATTATTTTTTTTGAAAATTTTGATTGAATAAAATAATCATTTACTATGTAAAATACTTTTTTTTTCTTAAATTGAAAAGTACTTTAATAAAAAGCATCAACCATGCATCACTAGACACCTTACATACCATTAATTACTGATGGTCAAAACCGGTCCCAAGATTTCTCATAACTGGCCATAACCGGTTCTGGCGTAATCGGTCTCGGTCCCGTTCGAAAAAGTTGAGCCCGGCCAAGTTTTATTGTAACCGGTTATGGACCACCGGTCTCGGTCCCGGTCATTAAAAAATAATTTTTTTTTTACAATTTTTAATGATATATATTTTTAATACATTATAAAATTTGTAATTGAGTCACTCAAATACACTTTAAAAATGTGTTTTATTATAATTAAAATTACATTATCTTACAAAATACAGCGAGAAACCGAAAATTGTGAACCTTTTTTTTTGCGTTTTTTGCGAATCGAGAGCTTGGTATGTAAATCTTTCAACCGAAACACTTATATATAGTGTTTAGAAAGCAAAAAATACAAAAAACGGCTACAAATTTAAAAAACAGTTACATTTTTTAAAAATCGGGCTGGGCTGGTCCTGGTCCCGCAAAACACCTCAAATCTATAACCGGTCCCAGATTTCGGTCCTATAACTGGTCCTTACCGGTCCCGGACCGGGCCGGGCCGGTTTTGCCATCACTACCACCAACAATAAACTTGTCAAAATACATGTTTCAAATACACATCATTAAACCATTATACATGCTACCGAAATACCCAATCATGTTCAAATACATGTGTTCGAAAGTCATCGAACATACATCATTAAACGTCATATAGTTTCTAACCCGTCAATAATCAAGCACACTTGTTATTGCAACACATACCTAACAAACTCTTATTATGCTTCTCTTTCATAGTTCCAAAAAACTTAAAGAGCATCTCTAACGGATTCTTCAAAATTTATCTAAAATAGAGATGCAAAAGTCAAAATATCTAAAAAAAATTACATTCATCTCCAACAGATTTCTCATTTTGAATAATCCAACATTGATTATAATATTAAAAGATTTTATTCATCTATTAAAATATTATTTCATTTTTAAAGTTTCTAATTGGTGGTCTCATTTGGTAATCATTTTTGGGGTTAAAGCTATGTTTGGCAAACTATCTGATAAGTTAGCTGGTAGCTGATAAGTCAGCTGATTAACAACTTATGTTTGGCAAAACTAACTGATAAAAAAAATGAAAAATGACCAAGAAGGACAACTTGAAAAATTAATCAATTATAATCTATATTATATTATAAAGCATTTGACAAAAACTCTTAAAAAAATTATGCATAAAGTACTGTTTATTGATGCATATTACGTAAAATTCAAGTTTACAAGTAAATTGTGCACAAGTACAACTTATTAAAGGTTTATGTTTGAATTCGTATAACTAACTGCTGATGAACATAAATTCGTGTAACTAACTGCTGATGAACATCTCATTTTAAAATATAAAAAATCTAAAATATAATTAGGATAATTGTTGAGTTCTAACAGAATACTTAATTATTATCTTTATAAATAATATTATTAAACCTAAATTAAGTTACTTAGTTACGTTAAATTAAATTATAGTAAAAAATGTGAATTAAATAAAATAAACAAACAAGAACTTTTAATTAGTTAATTTGATACTAATATTGATATATTTTTTGCAAATTTTATATGATATTTTCAAATTTATATTTTATTCAAAAATAAAAACATTATCGTTTTCTCAAAACCACATAAAATCGTATTATATCGACATGGATAAAGAATAAAACAAAACATTGAAATGGAAATGTGTCTCGATGCATTGCATGAGTACCCTTCTAGTATTTCAAAATACAATTGAAATAAATCTCTAATAATATAATATATTAACTAATATAAACAATATAAATAAACTAACGTTTGATCGCTTTCTCAAAGTAAAATCCAATGATGGCCGGAGACCGGAGAGAAGACCGAAGAGAAGGTTTCAAAGGAGACTGGAGAGAAGACCGAAGAGAAGGCAACCGTGAAGACCGGAGAGAAGCCCGAGGAGAAGATCGTAGAGGTTTCCAGAGAGCTGAAACGAAAATCGAAGAAGATGATGGCTGGCAAAAGGTGGAGCGCAGAAGGAGATCTCGAACATCTTTGTTCAACTTCTTCTTCTCTGGGTTTCCAGATTCCTGGGGAGAAGAAGCTTTGGAAAGAATGTTCTCACGTTTTGGAAAGGTTTCGTCGCTATACCTTGCAAAGAAAAGAACCAGAAGAGGCTCAAAATTTGGCTTTGTGAAGTTCAAGTTCGAAGGAGATGGGAGGTCGTTGGAGAAACAACTACAATCGATTATCATTGGCTCGAAAAAGTTGGTTATTAATCTGGAGAAATTTTGTAAGGCTGTCAAAAGGACCTCTAATGAAGGTCACACCTTCTTAAGACCTTCTAGGAGTGTTCCCATCAAAGAACCTACTAAAAGAAGACCCGTTACTTTTCTCTCAGAGTCAAGATTCGTGGACAGGAGAACCTTTAAACAGGCGGTTACAGGGGACGGAGAGGCAAAGGACGAAGAGTGTGGCATCATCGAAGTTCMGATCAATGTTGAACACCTGAGAAGGCTTAAAAATAGCTGGGTGGGAAGAGTCAAGGGTATTGATCAGTTGAGGAACATTAATGCCATTTTGAAAGAAGATGGTATGGGTGAATGTAAAATCCAATATTTAGGAGGTCTTTTCATTCTCTGCGAATGGAWTTCGAGAGATTTGGCAAAGAAAGTTTTGATTAAAAATAAGGAGGTTTTAAAAGTTTGGTTTCAAATGGTGAAGTTATGGGAGGAGAATTTCTCTTTACAGGAGAGATTGACTTGGCTTGATATCCAAGGTTTACCGGTTGAAGCCTGGAATGAATCTTCAATCCGTAACATCGCGGGGTCTTTCGGCGAAGTGCTTGAGGTGGACGAACCCTCTTTTGAGGGCTCTACGGTTTGTTCTTTTGGTGCTTTAATTGTAACAAGTTCAATGGCTGAG